GTATCTTGAAATGCAACCAACATGGGGTATCTCCTACATTGTAGCAGTAAACACACAGAGTAGAGTTATGGGAGGAGGTCAGGGTTGTGGAGAGTGGGTGATATACAACGTTACTCCCAGAAAAGGTGGGCCATGAAACCGACAGAGAATGTGGGAAACTGGCCTTCCCCAAAGCGAGTCATCTAACAATCTGAATTGATTTCGTGCATGCTCTGCAGATTGCACATGCATTTGTACACACGCAGGAACAACACACCTCTAACAGCAAAGGAGCTGCTTACCTTTTCTCTAACTTTTTTTTGTGTGTGTGGGGGGGGGAGGCCTATGGTCACACGACCCTGAAAACACCTTTAACAATCACTTGCCTGGTCGGGTCATCAGGTGTGAATGGAAATAAAAATCTGTTATGCATGTTACAGAACTTCGTAATTTTACCACTGCATTATACGGAAACAGAGTTGATGACAATTAGTGGCCTAATATTAGAGCAGTGGTTTTTCAACCAGTGTGCCAGGGCACACTGGTGTGCTGTGAGAGGATCTTAGGTGTGCTACAAAAAGTTTTAAAGATCATTAATTAGTTTTGAAAGACGTCCAAAGCACAGTAAGTATATTCCTGCTTTTACTCCTTTTTTTAAAATTAACATCATTTAAGTGTGCTATGGAAGTTTGGCTATAGGTTCAAGGGTGCCATGAGATAAAAAAAAAGGTCGAAAAACATTGTATTAGAGTGATGGAGAAAAGGAGGTTGGACGGAAGACCAGAAGGGCAGCGGGGTGTCAGCTTAGTACCTGGGAAGGTGTGTAAAGCCAGCGGCCTCATGGCTGCTGACACCAGCTGGGTTGCTTGAAGGTGGCCTGAGTAGCCTCTTCCAAGAAGGGCTAGGATGACATGTGGTCTGACCACAGAATGGGCTGTACGTGGTTGGGAGGCTGGGCCCTGGGCCTCCCCTGGTATCTCCAGCCTAACCCAGTGCTTGGCACAGAGAGATATATGATAAAGAAAGGCCTGCAGGTGGGGTGCTGCAGGCAGGCCCAGGGAGTGCCTGCTCAGAGGAAGAGCTGGAAATAAAATGGGCCAGAATGGTCAGCTGGAGTAGAGTTGTAAAGGCAGCAGCATCTCTCTGAATAAAACTCTGTGGGGAGCTCTGAGGCCTACAGGGCCTATGAAGGCCAGGAGGGTAGAAATGGAAGATCAGATCGGTGTAGTTTAGAGCAACTTTTAAATAGAAGGCATGAAGCTAACCAGCGCAGAGATACCTTAGCTGTACTGGGATGAAATCATCAGGGACCAGATGAAGGGTCAGACCAGAGGTGAGAAATGTCTTTAATTATGAATCACTGACTCATTAAAATAATTCATCTGAGGGTGATGTTTAAATAAAATAAGCTATATTTAAGTTTGATGGGTGAACAGAGTGTGAGAGAGGCGAACAGGGAGTTTGAAAATGGGAAAATATAAATAGACTTCATTCACAAAGAAAATAAGAGAAAATTAAACTAATTAACTAATAAAACAAAAAATGTATTTCAAACAAATAGAGACCCTAATACAGAGACACACAGATATATGTAGAAGAGACAGTTGGCGGACACCTGTCAGCTGGCCACTCCTGTAGGGCCTGAATAAGCCACACTCTTCTGTTTGGACCCACTCAGGGTCCCCTTTGAACAATAAGCTTGTCCCCTTGTGATGCTCGGCCTGGCCTCCATTGTACAGGAACTGAAGTGCTCTCTAGTCTGCTGAAACTGTCTGTAGCAGCCTAAATGGCATTTAAAATAAATACTGTGAATTAATGAAATGGCCAATTATGTTAAGTGCCCGTGCCTGGTGTAATCCAAACCAAATCTTACCCCATTATCCTCAAAACTGAGAGGTGATTCAGCAGCCCCTCTTGCCAGTGATTCTGAACCAAAATAGAGGTGCCGCACTCGACATCTAAGAAGGACCTCGAGTACTTGCAGTTAATTCTTGCAATTGGTTTTGTGTAGGGGAAAAAAATAAATGTACTACATTCCCACTCTAAACCAAACAATGATTAGACTCCATAAACTGGTTTCCCATTGTAACCATTGTGTCATTTTGATTTCAACTTCTTTTCAGGTTTTGACTTCCATTATGTCCTCTTCAGACAGCGCGTTATTCTTCGTGAATGTGTCGTGGAGCACGTCGTTATCCACAGGTGTCTACGAGGCACTCGTAGTCTGCACCTACCTCAGGGAGTCTCCACGGCCACGCTCGCAGGGATGCTACAGGCTCTGCTTGTTTCCTTTTCTTGCAATGCCATTTTCTTTTCTGCTTCCATACAGTCTCTTCTATCTGTATGTCAAGGTCTTCCTCAAGGGTCTGTTCTTCCAAGAAGGGACAGCTCCTCTGCTCCCACCCTCCTGACTGACAAAAGTAGGTCTCCCTTGTTCTCTACTCCAAGGCACATCTCACTCGCCCGTCCTGCGTTCTTACAGTCCCGATCCCCAGGGCCACTCCATACTGCAAGTTTTCTCCCTCCCTGGTTTAGGCAGTTCTGCTTGTGACCCAACTCCTGACCCATAACTGAGGATGGATTCTGCTGATCTGTCACTGGGCCCCCAGCATCCTAAAGAGGCTCCAGTGTCACCCCCATGTGAGAAAACTGCTTCTCCCTAGTTCCAGGAACTGGGTTCTTTCGAGACAAATGTCCTTAGTCCCAGCCCTGCTTGCTGTCAACTCCAATCCCTGCAGCTGAACCCTATTAACAGAGTCTGATTTACTAGAAAAGTTTTCTCCTAATTGCTACAGGGAAAAAGAAGAGATGGGTGCGTATTTTTGCTTATAAAGATTAGAACGTGAGCATAACTCAGGTACATTTTTTTCTACTTCATTCTAACCTTAACCTCCTACCAGCATGATTGGGCAGCTCCCTTCTCTGCATACCCAGCTTTATTCTCAAAACTTTTGCTTGATGGACTGTAACAATTTCTTGATGGCCCAGTACCATCAGCAAAAGGAACATAAAAATATTAATTAAGATGAACACTCATGTAGTTTGAAAACCCTTACCACAACAAGTGTCTTGGGCAGTGCCTGTGGCTCAAAGAGTAGGGCACCAGCTCCATATACAGGAGGTGGTGGGTTCAAACCCGGCCCCAGCCAAAAACTGCAAAAAAAAATAAGTAAAAGAAAAAACAAAAGTGTCTTAAAGACTCTATACAGTTACAGCAAATGAAGAAACATCACAGAAAAAAATTAATGTTAACAAATCTCTGCCCACACTCCCAAGCTCTGAGATTCTTCTGATTTTCAAATATACCAAAAAAAAAAAAAAAAATTAATGGGTTGCATTTAATTAGATGTAAATTCAATAAGCATCTGAAATCTGTGCTAGTTCAATTCCCTGTGCCTAGGGCAATGAGGGGAATTTTTAACTCTATGAAGAAGAGAAAAAAAGTCTCTATGGAGATGGAATCTCATATGGCCATCACTCAACTTCAGAAACTTCATTGCTATTGATATCTTCCTCCTGTTTTTGCCCCACACAAATAAAAAATCTAATATGCTTAGAGCAAATCTTACCTAATGCTCAACTGAATGAATAAAAATTCTATAAGAAAAGACTCTAAGAAAACGAAATTCCTTTTCTCAAAATAATGCAAACATGAATGATACTCATATCATTACTACATTTCCAGAGGAAAAATGATGATGCATAGAACTTCGAAACTCGCTAAAAAGAACCCAAAGGCTGATTCTAATCAGTTTCCACTTATACCATCTGAAAAGGGAACAAAATAGATTTTTTTTACATTACGTGTTAATTTCTGAGAATGGAGGGAGTTCCCTTTTATTTTCTTAAACATTTCGGATATCTATGATGGCTATTAAATTAGAATTAACCCAACTTGCCTGAGTAAATTTCACTGGTACCAAGCAAAAATACAATGAAAACTCTTAAGTTCCCAATTTCACAGGCTATTGAAAAGACAATATGCAATTGTGTGGCCCATAAATCAACAGCAGAAATGTGATGACATCTCTCACCATTGTTTGAGCTACTCTGAAAACCTGAAGATAAATGTCTCTCTTCTTAACCACGTGGCTGATCCTCAGCATATACTTTTAAGGGAAAGAGACTGAATACCTCTAAACCAACCAAATGGCACTAAAATCCCCCCACCATTAGCCCAGCACAGTTTTAAAGTTCTCAGGACAGCCAAATTCACTGGCTTTTTGCCTGCTGTGCCAATGTGACTCTGCGCCAAGCTATGGAGGCTGGAGAGGGCAGGAAACTGGAAGACCCTTGGGAGCTAATCAATTCCAAGTTTATTTACAGAACCGATATCCAAGACAGTGATAACCCAAAAGTGATTTCTAAAAGTATTTAAAATGCATCTTTTTGCTATTTGCAACCTTTTAATCTTCTTCAGCTTTGGTCATTTCAAAAGAAACTTAATAGCAAAAACAAAGATCAAAGGCGATTTGAGTTCCTTGAGCACACTGGAGAGGGACTACTAGTACAAGGCAGCTGGGGATGGGCGGGACAAGAGCGTCACTGCAGATGGCACTGGTGGGGCCCAGTGAGGGGTGACTGCACTCTGAGTCTCAGAACCAACCACGGCAAACCTTCCAAGCACATGTGAATATCAGGGGGCAGCAAGGAATGCGTATACCTGCACAAAAACAAACGTCTCAGAACACCCAAACCATCCTTTGTCAGCTCATGCATATTTGCTATGTAACTCCAATTTCACCAATGCAAGCCGAACATTTTCTAGTGTATGATCAGTGACAGTAAGCCAAAGAAGCAGTCCTTAGTGGCCCAGTTTCAGACTCACCATTCACAGCAACCCCGAGACCTAAGAGGGAAGAAACCAAGAGAAGTGGACACACAGACCCTACCCACAGCAGCCACACTTCTCCAAAGAGCAACCACTCCCAGAACAGGACAGCACTCTCCTGGATGACACCAAGCACAAAGGAGTGGGGACAGGGGGCGAGGGAGAGGAGGGGGTGTTCCTAGAGACCTACCTTGAAGAAGGGCTCCGTTTCTCTTGAAGAAGGTACTGCCCGGCCAGATGGGTGGACCTGATGTGCTGAAAGAGAAGAGAAACTAGCGTAAGGGTGAATTCATTACACTCACTGACTCAAAATGCCCTCAAACCATTTCCCCAAGGATACACTATGTATCTTTAAAAGCCCTTGGGCTCGCTTTATTACAAACAAGCTTCACATTTCACAGTGCCGACCCTATCCACATGGGAGTACTCTAACTGCTTGTCTTGATCCTGTCCACACCTGGGCGCTACAATCACTAGCAGATAACCTAAAGACAATGGCAAATTTCTACAGTTCGGGGGCATACCTTGTAACTTAAGAATTTGCTAACCTGTTTATAATTTCATGAATTTATGTAAAAAAGAACTTTGCTCCACATCGTCTGAGTCCAAGTGGGTTTTCTGACACTTCCTGGCGTCACTTGCTTGTTACAATGCAAACTTGCCTTTCTCCGCATTTCTACCACTAAATCCTTAATATACAGACATGACCTTGACCGACTTCTTCCTTCCCCCACTTCTCTTGTTTCGTATCCTGTTTCCAATTTCTTGGCTTAAAATGTTGCATTCCATCCCCTATAAAACATTTTGCAGATATGTTACCACCCACGGTCTGGTAACAGGAGAGGCAAGAAAATAAGAGATCAATATATCACAAAGACACTTACTGCATTTATAGATGAGCATTTTCACTGTTTTAGGACAGCCAGTGGAAAACTTTATAAGCAAGCTAGTCTTAATGAAATATCCTTGGAGTGGAAAACAGGTTATTCTACATCAAGGATTGGTTTAGATTAATGTCGCAATGCACTTAGTCAAAACCGCTACTACGTCCAGCCCAAGAGGCGATATAAATTACTTTCACCAAAATAGTATATGGCAAATGATACTGGTTAATGCATTATCAATCACCTTCAACGTTTAAAAAAAGTAAATAATTGGTCTGAGGAATATATTTGTAAGTCTGGCAGACATACACAGAGTAATCTGAAGGCTACACAATGAATGCTTCATCAGTCAACTCGAGTCTCCAGTTCTGTGGGACGGCAATACCGTTAGCAAGGAGAAATGCGGACGACACATCCCGCTGACTCGAATTTCATTACCAGAGGTACAGATAGCACAGCAGGTGTGTCCCCACGGACACAATTACATGATTGAGGAAGAATAGAGGGGGAAGAAGAAAAAAGCTGTAGCATAAAAATTCCATGACACATCAACGTAATGTCAAACATACTAGAACACATATACAACGAACCTGTGTGTTAATGATGCTTATTGTTTTATTTTGTTTTGGACCCATCGGACTAAAATTAAACTAGAATGATGTATCTCAGCTACAGTTCTTCCTGCAGCCCTGGCAACTGTGACCTCCGAGTGGCTAAGAGTTGCACAGGACAACAGAAGGCATGGCTGGATCTCAGGATGACAGCAGATTTCTCTTCCATTTGATTCCTATCCTATTCTGTAATTTAGGGGCTTTTAAGGCTCAAAGTTGCATGAAGAATAATGTGCATTCAAATACTTGAGATTATCTTTTAACCAGCCCAACAAGCTCTCAGGATTTTACTATCTTACTTTTATAACAACGCAGGAGAAAGCAAGCTGGCTGTCGCCAATACCAAATCATGATTTATAACGATGTTTAAAAACTGAGGACTCCATTATGGAGGAGTTGGCGCTTCTAGGGAATGCGATAATTGAGTATTACTGCAGGAGCCTGAATATCTAGCTTACTTCCATCCAAATCTCCTCTTTATCCTTAACCTTGATTTGGCGGAAAACTGAACAGACACCAGGGATGGAGCAAATGTAAGGAAAGAAAGTTGGGTAAATCCTGAGATTCAGATAAGGGAAATTCTCTGTTATGACAGAAATCTACCAAAGTTTCCTACATCCTTCTCGTGTACTAAAGTCGCTGATCACTACGCTATGGTTGTTCTGTGGTGCTGTGGAACTAATCTGTACTCCAGTAGCGGAGAGACAGAGGGACAGGACACCACATTCTTCTTCTTACAAATGCAAACTTGCCTTTCTTGGCATTTCTACCACTAAATCCTTAGCAAGGACTGACGGACATCAGTCCATCCCTTGTTGTGACTGATGAATTAACATGTGGTCTCCTTCTAGCTCAAGGTTCCTGCCACGCTAACTGCAGAGCTTTTGAACTCCTCGGTCCCATCTTCTACACCCTTCTTTTAGGTGGTCCCTCAAAATGATGTCTCCTAACAGTTGGGAGTTTCAAAGATTCATTAAGCTTCTATTGAGAGCTGTGCTTCGTGTTGAGAGAGAATTGGAGGGAAAACTTAAAAACTTAAATTTTATGACTTCTAAGAACATGCTTCCCCACGGTAATTCAGAGAAGAGACCAGAAGCTGAAAACTTTGTGGGGAGAGCGACAAACCACCCATGCACATGGCAAGCAAGACGATGGGAGAGTAGGGTACTCTCCACAGCCAGACACACAGATGTCAGTGACTCATGAGTGGTCACTGGCGTGGGAAATGGCCACAAAGGTGCCCTTAACTCTAGCTGACTGGGTTTTAGTCACCCTATAATGGTACTCGCATTGCTTGATACTGAAATCAAGTTACCATTTACTGAGCATTGGTGACCAACACTTTGGTTCTTGGACAGAGTCTTGCTCTGTCACCTGGGATGGCATCAGCCAAGCTCACTGCAACCTCAAACTCCTGAGCTCAAGTGATCCTCCTGCCTCAGCCTCCTGAATAGCTGGGACTACAGGAACCACACCTGGGTAATTTTTCTTTCTTTCTTTCTTTTTTCTTATTTTTTAAATAGAGAGGGCATTTTGCTCTTGTTCAGGCTGGTCTCAAACTCCCAATCTCAAGTGATCCTCCTGCCTTGGCTTCCCATAGGGTGACAGGCATCAGCCACCAGGTCCAGCTGACAACCAGCACATTCCCATAAAATCCTCCAATTCTAAGGAGCAAGCAGGGAAGAAACCACCTTTCTTATTCTACAGACAAAGAGACAGAGTCCTGAGAGGTGAGGGGACTTTCCCAGGACATCGTACGACTAGTTAGAGACCAAACCCAAGATCAGCCTAGGGTTCCTGGTGCCAGTCCACTGTACACAGGGACACACACATAAAGGGCTCCAATTTCATTTCTAATCTTTCAGCTTTCCTCTTCCTCCCTTCCACCACTAAATTCTTAGCCCATGGAAGAAGGCTGTAGGGGTATTTTGCTAGGAATCTCTCCAAAGCAAAGTCCCAGGCTGGAAAAAGCAATCTGACTAATCATATGTGAATGACAGGTGGGCTCATATTAGCAGAAACAATACAGTGCTGGTGCCACAAAGGTCTTATTTTAATAATGCTCTAACAGAACCCCATGATTGGGGCTGGAGGTGGTGGCTCATGCATGTAATCCTAGCACTCTCGAGAGGCTGAGGCAGGTGGATTGCCTGAGCTCACTGGTTCAAGACCAGCCATAGAAAGAGCAAGTCTCTAAAAATAGCCGGGCATTGTGACAAGCCCCTATAGCTACTCGGGAGGCCAAGGCAAGAGAATCACTTGAGCCAAAGAGTTTGAGGTCGATATGAGCTACGATGCCAAGGCACTCCATCGAGGGCGACAAGGCAACTCTTTCAAAAAAGCAAAACAGAAAAACTCCAACCAAATAAACAAAAAAACCCCATGACCTTCAGCAGTATAAGCCAAACCAACTTTGTGACAAAGGAAGCAGACCAACAGGTGAAGAGGGCCTTGCCTGACAGAAAGGAGGTTTGTGGATCGGCATTTGAGAACATTGATCCAGCTGATCGTTAAAACCAGTGCTGAGCCAGCAAATCCCAAGAGATGAGCGATACCATCCTCAGCAGCACACCGGGCATTCGCTAGAGACTCGAGGTCTCAGCTGCATTACCTCCAGCTCCCAAGGGGACACGGGGACTTGAGAGGCTATACAGCCCGAAGGTGGCTCCTGGCATAGTGATGTGATCTGTCATGTGTTTCTCTACACCCATAATCACTGTGAGCCTTACTCATCGTGAGAACCAGCTGGATTGTAAACGGAGAACCTGGGAGGCTGGCAAGACCCACACCTGTATTCACAAGTCTGTACTTTCCGTGGGTCTAACGAGGAGCAAAACTAAGAACCCAGCTGCCAAATGTGAAATGGAACATCTCAAAGAGTAAGATGCCATGTCAAGGATGAAACTTGAAGGCATGTGCTCTGTGAATAAAGACGACAAATACCGTCAGATTCGGCACATGGAGTGGTCACATTCCCAGAGAAAGAGAGCAGTAGATTGGGGCAGGGAGTGTGGCTCACGCCTATATTCCTAGCACAGTGGGAGGCTGAGATGGCTTGAGCTCAGGAGCTGGAGACCAGTCTGAGCAAGAATGAGACACTCCCCTCCCCATCTCTACTAAAAACAGAAAAGCAAGCCAGGCAGTATGAGAGGAACCTACAGTCCCAGCCACTTAGGAGGCTGAGGCAAGAGGACTGCTCAAGCCCAAGAGTTCAAGGTTGCTGTGAGTCACGATGATGACCCAGGGTGACAGGGTTAGACTCTGTCAAAAGCAAGAAAGAGAGAAAGGGAGGGAGAGAGGGAGATCACTAGAGACTGCGGGCAGCAAGGAGTGGGGAGCTTAATGGGAAGAGAGGTTCAGTTTTGCAAGATGAATTGTCCTGGGGGTTGCACAACCTTGGAAAGGTACTTAACACTACAGAACTGTACACTTAAAAAATGGTTAAGATGGTAAATTTTATTATGTGTATCACCACAATTAAAGTAATTCTTTTTAATATACAAAGAAAAGGGGGAGGTAGAGAAGAATAGCGGGAGGGAATGGGGTGGGGGAAGGAAGAAGGACGGTAGGTAGAGAGATTCTAGGAAGGACTCTGGGAGAAGGATGTAGTGAGACCAGCCCATCCTGATTTAGTAATCACTGCTCCTTAAGTGACTAAGCACAGATTCCCATCACATTTTTAGCGCTGGAAACCCAGTACAATGGCAACCCCCTCCAATGTACCCCCTCTCAACTACCATCAGCCTCAAGTCTTCCCAGG